CTCTGGACGACGCGCCGCTATAGCGGCTTGCTCCGGTAGCTCGCTCGCTCATCGTTCGAACCAAATAATCGTCTTCGTATGCATTGTTTCACGCTTCTTTTTTTCGTCTTCGCATCGATTTACAACAGTCCACAGGGTGTCCGAAAAATGTCTCGCAATCCGGAAATGGCGGGCTCCTCGGATCGTTCGAAGCAACTTCTTTCTCTACAAAAATGTTCTCCGAGGCACCGTTAACGAGTTATCAACGAAAAACGGTGACCAATGAGAGGCGAGCTCGGCTGGCGCGTCAGCCATACTCGATTCTTATTGGTCATCGTTTTTCGTTGATAACTCGTTAACGGTGCCTCGGAGAACATTTTTGTAGAGAAAGAAGTTGCTTCGAACGATCCGAGGAACCCGCCACTTTTGGGACACCCTGTATATACAGTATCAGACTCTGCCGTCCGGAGAAATAGCCTCGCGCAGAATTCAGCCTAAATTCAGTACCTAAAAGGTTAACAACGCGCCTATGAAAGCTTCGTTATGCACCGGCAAGGTCGATACTCGGCGCTGCGTTGCAAACACGGTGCGGTAGATGCGGATGCGGATGCGGGCCATCGAGGTGACGCAATTCTCGATATGTCCGCGAGACAAAGTAATCGGAAACGGTCTAGTTCTCTTCCCGTTTTTGTTTCCTATGAAAGAGAGACAGCATCGTGCGACGCGTTCGGGAAAACGAAATAAGAATGACAACTTTTTCAGAGAAAATTCTCGCGTTCGTTTCAATAATCTTTAAACGTCGTGTCGTTTCACCGTCCAGTTTCCGAGAATTAATTTCGATTTTCACAAGCTTCGTCGAGCATCTTAAAGAATATCCCGAGTCCGGACACCGGACGTCGAACACCGCAGAGAAGATCGTCCGATCGATCGCTTCGAGAACGAAAATCAATTTCTCCTTCGTCTCCGTTCGCTTCGATCCGGGTAAACGATAAAGATCCGCGATCGCGTCGGTTTCATATTTCGAGCTCGCGTTTTCTTTCGGGAGTAGCGATCGCCGCGATTTCACAGGCGATCGACCGGGTAAAACTCGCGGTCCTCGGTCCGCGAAACCGTGTCCCTTATCCGTGACCACGGCCACACCTTCCGAGCGGATTTCCACTATACGTTCGAGAGCCGATATTCGTTCTTATTCCTCTCGCGTCCCTTTTCTCCGCTTTTCTCCCCTTGCCGCGTCTTTTCTCCCCTTTTCGCCCCCGGTCGCCCCTCGTCGTCCCTTTTCGCCCCGTTTCTACGGTCGGTCGTGCTCGGCACCCCGTGCCCCGTGACCCGTCCGCCACGGTTTCTCTGTCCACTGGCCAGAGTTGTCCAGTGTCCAGTGGCCGGAGGCCGAGAGATGCGGCAACGGTCGACTTCCACTTGGTCGAGCGTGATCGAAATTGATCCACGCGGTACAAAAGGGACTTCGCCGGCCGAGACTACCAACCGGCCGATAGCAAAAGAGTTAATTATAAAGAGGCGAGCGTCAAAATCCGATACGTCGTCGTTGTTGTCGCTGCTGCTGCTGCTGCTGCCGCTGCCGCCGCCGTTCTCCTCGCGATACAGCCGTTTTCACGTTCGCGTTGTCTCATTATTATTTTTGCTACCGTTTGTTTCGGTTGTTGTTGTACTCGTACCCGTGGTGTTACTCGTCTTCGTTGTCATCGACGGAATAACCGCGCGACGGTCGATTATCGGAACGAGGTCGACGCGCGGTGCCTCTCCTAACCGGACAAACGGACGACTGTATATAGCGACGCTCGATTTTCCATGAAAATAGAATCGGGAGGTTCCCGAGGTGATTCGAAGCAACTTTTTCCTTTGCGAAAATGTTCTCCGAGACACCGTTAACGAGTTATCAACGAGAAACAGCGACCAATAAGAATCGAGTACGGTTGACGCGAGGCGGCCCAGCCGACCAGCTTGCGAAGCCTGGTTCCGCTCGTTGGCTCGATCGCCTCGCGCCACCCGAGCTCGCCTCTCGTTGGTCGCTGTTTCTCGTCGATGACTCGTTAACGGTGCCCAAGGGAAGATTTTTGTAAAGGAAAAAGTTGCTTCGAACGACCCGAGGAACCCGCCACTTTCGGATTGCGAGACTTTCGGGGCACGCGGGAACCGCGATCCTCCTCGATCTTCGCCGCTTTTTCGCGCGGATCGGTACCCGAATGCCCCGAGAATAAGCGGTAACGCTAACATCGAATAAATTTCACGTACCATCGGCGTGACGCGTTCCGCGTGGAAACTTCATACGTGATAACATGCGAGGTGCTCGATTTTAATCTATACGTACGCGCGATTATTTATGCAGCAGCGTAAAAATAGCCCGGAGCCGTCGAATCGAAGCATTTTTCGTCGTCGATATACCCAACGATTTTCCTAGGAAAATTTGCTGAATTTTCAACCGGTTTGCCCGTAGCCTGTAGCCTGTAACCTGGTTATCACGCTCCGCGGAGCGCATTGGAAGCGCAAACTCATGGTTCCTACGGTTTACTATGGATTAGAATCGCTTTCCTCGGGGAACCCTTGTCGCGACGCGTGTCGAGCGCTGGTTAACATCGGTTTCCATCCGAAATACTTTACCGGAGTGCAAGGCGATCGAGATTCTAGTTTTCATACGCGAAACATTCTCCGACCGAGACGTTTGAAAATTCTAAAGCGATCTCGCAATCGAACGCGTCGAATAGCAAAAGACACGATCTTTTTTTTACGAATTAAAATTTTCTTCGGAGCGGACCGTCGAACGGCGTCGAACGGCGTCGAACGGCGTCGAACGAAGAATTTAGCGTTTTTTTCGAACACGCTAAAATAATTCGATCGTACTTTTTTTGCGACGGAGAAAAATCTCCGTATTCGCCGTGAAAAATCTCGAATTTCCTATAATTTCTATAACCATGGGGTCTCGCGTGTCGTTCCGTTTACGCGGAAATACGTCGAGATCAAAGTTCGGCTCGGGGTTAAATTAGAGAAAATCTAGCGAATTTTTCCAACCGTCCTTTATTCTTCCATGAACACGGAAGGCAGGAAGGAAAGCAACGCGAGGCCCCGAGACCGCGCATTGTCCGTTTATTCTTCTCCGGTGAACAATGCGATGCAACAACTACGATTCTTCGATTCTTTCTACCGCATCGGTCGGTATTCTGTGTTCGCGCGATTCCGATTGTTCGCCCTTAATTATAGTAGAACGACCGATTCGCGTTCCTCGAACAGTTTGCATCGTTTCGTGCCGTTCCTTCGTTAGCGGAACCTTGTAACCTTCGCCGCAAATAATTACAAAGCCGTTCGTTTCTTGCGTCTTTTTGCCACGCTTCCAATTTCCCGTTCGAAGGGCACACGAATTTGTAATTTTTGCTCGTTGCATCTAACCTTTTAGGCACGATGCGCCACCATAGTGGCTTTCGCGGATGTCATCTTTCAATTCGACACGCCACTATAGCGGCTTGCACTGGTAGCTCGCTCGCTCATCGTTCGAAACAAATAATCGTCTTCGTATGCATTGCTTCACACTTCTTTCGTCTTCGCATCGATTTACAACAGTCTACAAGGTGTACCAAAAATGTCTCGCAATCCGGAAATGGCGGGTTCCTCGGATCGTTCGAAGCAACTTTTTCCTTTACAAAAATGTTCTCCGAGGTACCGTTAACGAGTTATCAACGAGAAACAGCGACCAATAAGAATCGAGTACGGTTGACGCGAGGCGGCCCAGCCGACCAGCGCGCGAAGCCCGGTTCCGCTCGTTGGCTCGATCGCCTCGCGCCAGCCGAGCTCGCCTCTCATTGGCCAGTGTTTTTCGTTAATAACTCGTTAAAACTCGGAGAAAATTTTTGTAAAGGAAAAAAGTTGCTTCGAATGGCCCGAGGAACCCGCCACTTTCGGATTGCGAGACATTTTTGGGACACCCTGTACAGACAGTATCAGACTCTGTCGTCCAGAGAAATAGTCTCGCGCAGAATTCAGCCATACCTAAAAGGTTAATAGTCGCGCGCAGAGACGATCGGCACCACCCTCTACGCGAGCGAAAAGATCGCGTTGGTCGGCCGTGGGACGTCGACGTCGAGCGTGAAATAACAACGACGCGCGAGTTCGAAATAGCGATTATGTATTTCTGGTCTACGGATCGACTTCTTCTTTTCCAATTGGAAACTTATCTACGGAGAGACCCAGTTGTTACGTTCTCGGCGTCCAAGGCGTCCGACGCGCGCGAACGCTGTCTTCTCGCGCGTTTTTCAATTCCAAGGGAATCGATGAGAAAACGCCTCCTTCGAAATCGTACCGACCAGTCGCGAGGAATCTATTTCGAGAAAAACGCGTTCGAAGCATCGATAATAGTCTACAAAGGCGCGTTGCGCGCGTGCAAACGATCGAATCGTACGAGCGTATAAATAGGCACGGGACTGACAATTCCTCTAAAACGATACTTCGCTTCGAGCCGAAAACATTTTGCGAAACAACGTTCGCGTTCGTTCGTTCGTTCGTTCTTCGATTTTCTACTTCCTCGTCGCGCCTCTCGGGCGGCTCGTTTCCTTTCAGCAACGCGCGATAGCCGCTGCTGCTCGAACGCGGAGAACTCGTCGAACTTTGCGGCAATTAGATCGGTTAATTGGTTGTTCGGCCACAAGTTGTCCGTCGGAGTGCACGCAGAGTACACATCGTACTCGCGAGTTGCGAGTCGCGCTTCGCGGGAAGCATTACCTGTTGCGGCGCGACGCGGTTCGACCGGAGAAAGGGTTAGAGACTAGGCAACCGGGTAGATACCGAATCGCGGTCGCACGGCCGCGGGCCGCTCGGGCGCGCCAAAGCGGTACGAATCGCCGCGTCGATGTGCTCCTAATTTCATCGGATTCCGCGGAACGTAAAAACTTCGGCAAAGGTAATCGATGCGAAACGCGGCTCGACCTTTCGATGCGATACGGCGGGTTTGGTCGGCGCGGGTCGATCGGGCGCCCGCGGATCGCGGAGGATAAAAGCGAGCGGACTCGCGTACTCACCGTGCGGTCCACGGCAGGACCTTGGTGCCCTCCAAGCTGATGCTCCTCAGCTCGTACTTGGAGCGGTGTCGAAGAGGCGAGCCGGGGGCGGTCGGCGCGTGGAGGACGCTCCTCATGCTCTTCGAGCTGATCCCGGCGAGCGCGTGCCTCCTGCCGGAAGCGCCTTCCCTGGCCGACTGGTTCGCGGACCGTCTCAGCGAAGTCATCCTCGTCGAGATGGCACCGAGCCAGTTCTCTTGCTGCTCGACCGAGACTCTTGCATCCTCTCGCGGGCTCGCGCGGTCTCTCGAGCAGCCGGGCCCTTTCAGCCCGAACGGTTCCGAACCACTCGCCGCCTCCTCGGGAACATGCTGCGCTCTGAACGACAGTTTTGCAACGGGGAAAACGAATCCCGCGGACATGCGAGCGGACGCGGACGGACGATCGCCGGCGGCGGTGGCCAAACGCGACTCGCCAAAGTTCTCGCGAGATTTCAAACGATCGCGCGATCGACGGCCGACACGGAGACGAGGCTGTTCGCCGATCGAGTTCGCCCCACCGTGGATCGCCGAACCTCCTTCGCCATTTCTCGGATTCTCTTGTTCTTCTCGCAAGCCTCGGATTCACGGATTCGCGGTGGCCGAAGCGGCGCGGATCGATGGCCCTCGGCGAGAAGAAGACCGGTCGCTCGTTCGGTCGGCGAGCTTTTTGTCGCTGTTGCTCGGACAGACAACTGAACCCGTCGGATCAACCGGCAACCATAAATGACTGCGCCACCCTTCGGCCCCACCATCCAGCGTCGTTCGCCACCGCGCTGAGAGCGAGCGTCGTAGAAACACCGGCGGCAACCCCACCATCGTCCTCTTGTCCCACCGATCCTCTCCGATCATCGGACTTTCTCCCCGGCCGATACCCCCTTTTCAACTACGCGCTTCGATGATGCGGGGATCGATCCGGCCGCGATCCGGGACTCCCCTTCGGAGCCGATCTGTTCGCCTTCGCGTCCGCGTTCGCCGGCTTCGCGCGTCCTACTCGCGAACCTGTGAAAATTATTAGACGCACGGACGACTATAAAAAGACGAACGGCGAGACGGATTTTCGCTGGGAAGCCGACGGTAACGATTATCTCCGGCCAAGTTCGCCGCTTCGAATACGGCCGAGCGTAGAAATTCTCCGCCGCGCGCTCGAGTATCTCGTCTCGAGAACCGATCGAAAGTCGATTCGACGCTCGGCTCGATTTCGACCCAGATCGTACGCGCGCCTGTTTATAGTTCCCGACGATTCATTTTCGTTTTCCGCGTCTTGAAATTCTACGAAAGCTTCGAGCTTTTGGTTTCTCGGACTCGGTGCGCTTTTCATCGAGCAAAGAAACGCATAATTTCAAAGCTTTCGTAAAAGCGCGTTTCCAATTTCAACGATCCGAAAATCGACGATCGGAAATCGGTCGTTCGACCGGCGATCGTACGTTTAAATGGAAAATAGTTGCAACCGGGAAAGAATTACCGTTCGCTCTGCGTTTCCAACATTTGTTTCCGGATATCGTTCTCGTAAATAACGACGTTACGTCGAAGGCCGACGTTATTTGTCGGTCGAAGAAACGCGGCAATCGAGCCGGACGACGATTCCGAGTGTATCGGATTTATTTCTCGGTGAGCCGGCATATTACAATGGAACCCGCGTGTGGCCCGGTTAAGCGATTACCAGTCGACGCGGAGAGAAACTCGGCGCGACCGATAACACCGGCTCGCGTACGCGAAGGTCTAATGATCCGCGATCGCGAGCGGAATGCTCGGCGCCCGCATTTCCGCGTTTACACCGGATCTATTTAATCGGTAACTCGAGTTCGAACGAATTCGCGTCGAGCGCGGTAGCCGGCGGTTCTTGTTTCCGACGTTTGAATGTTTTACGCGACGTTCTTAGAACGCGCTTGGATCATCGCCGAGTACCAAACGACCGCCTCGAATCGTTACGACCACTTTTCCGAATAAAAATCGCGCGTGTCGGGACTTGAGCTTTTCTTCGGTTCGTCTCGAAAACGATTTGCTCGACGACCAAAAATTGTTGGTACGCGCGGATCTCTCAACTACGAAAGAAAATATTTATTTCTTCCGCGTCCCTGTAGGAGGTACTCTCGATAACATCGGCGTCGTATCGGTAGCAACGTACTCGAGCCAGATAAATCTGTTTGCGATCGTGTCGCGACGCGTCGATTCTACGTCGATCTACGGCGTTTCTCGAGACGCTGTTTCCGACTGCGACGCCCGCGGCCGGAAGAAATTAGCAGGAAATTGCGATCGAAAGACTCGTTCGAAGCGGTAAAATTCGAACGAGAGCTTGTTCGTCGCTTCCGATTCGGATTTCGTGATCGATCTCGCCTCGGCGAGAAGCGAGCGAAGGCGAGCACCGGCGTCGCGCGCGTACCGGGACAAAGAAAAATCGTTAATTCGGAGCGAGTTCCTCGTTACGCGTCGAACAGTCGCGTCACAGGAGTCGTCGCGGTTCGCGAAATCGCTCGCCAACGGCGACGGAGAGAAACTCGGCCGCGCCGTCCGACGAATTCCGTTCACCACGTGCGTTCGACGCGACGACGCGCAAGCTCGTTAAATTCGTCGAAGTCTGCCAGGAAGCGTCGTCGTTCCTCTCTCTCTCGACGACGACGAAGACGCGACGCGTCTCCTCCGTTGGCAGCGTTCGTCTCTCGCGAAAATTTCGTCGGGAACACGCGCGAACCGGTCGTCGCACCTCTCTCTCTCTCTCTCTCTCTCTCTCTCTCTCTCTTTGTTCTCTACTTTTTCGAACCCATTATCGTCAATTTCCGTCATCGAAGCTGCTCGATCTATCCGACGACGATTCGGCGGTTCGTCCGCAGACCGGCGCTACGATCTTCGAAAACGATCGACGATTTTGGAGATTGCAGTCCCATGGTGTTTCGACGAGATTACCAGGCGCCCCCGTGTCCGGCGATTTTGCAGGATCTTCCTTGCGAATCTCGTGGGGAAACGAAGGATCTTTCGAGAGGGTGCGACGCGACGCGAGCGAGCATCGCGTCGTTCGTCGAAGACTGCTCGATTCAGGGCCAAGATTATTCCGCGAAGGGCGAAAGCGCCCCGTGCCGCGTCGCGTCGAGCCGCGTGTATCGGGGAACGCATGCGTCGCGCGTCGCGCGTCGCGCGTCGCGGGTCGCGGGTCGCGAGTCGTACATCGCGTCGAGATCGAGAGGGGACTTGTTTTTCGAAAAACAACGCGACCGCTCTCGGGGAGGCGTGTCCTTTTTCCGCGAGGATCGATCACGGAAACTCCGCGCGAGCTTCCTCCCTTTTCCACCCTCTTTCTATTTCCCTTTCTCTCGGTCCGACCGTGAATCGCGAAGGCGACGAACGATCGACTGCGAATTAGGTTAAACTCGCGAGCCGGTTCTAGTTTCGATAATTCGCGGATCAACCTAATAGAACTCGGCGGGAAAGAGTCCGCCGGACGAGAGCGTCGAGAGATTCTCTCGGTCGCCGGCTGTATTCTCCGCCTCGACAGGCCCTGAATCAAAAGCGAAGAGATCCCCGAACGGCTCGCCTCGCGTCCCACTGACGACGGCGACGCGATCGTCCAGGGACATCTGGCCCTGTCCCTTTCTCCTTATTCGTAGCTCGGCAACTTCCGACAAGAACGCCTCGCGAGAGGCCTTCGCGTCGCCTTTCCTATTTTTACGTAAGACCGCGTATAGCGAACGAACTCTTTTAAGAACTATCTAAAAGACTTAGAGGGAACAATAATAGGCTGCGAATTGCACAACGTTGCGCGCAATCCGTTTCCCGCATTAATTGTATTTGCTCGAAGAAGCTCGGCCGGAAATAGAATAAGTACACGCGAGCGTCGAAACGCGGCGCGAGTCGCGATCGATGATCGCGAACGATTAACTTTTTAGGCACGACGCGCCACTATAGCGGCTTGCTCTAGTAGCTCGCTCGCTCATCGTTCGAAACAAATAATCGTCTTCGTATGCATCGCTTCACACTTCTTTTGTCTTCGCATCGATTTACAACAGTCTACAAGGTGTCCCAAAAATGTCTCGCAATCCGGAAATGGCGGGTTCCTCGGATCGTTCGAAGCAACTTTTTCCTTTACAAAAATGTTCTCCGAGGCACCGTTAACGAGTTATCGACGAAAAACAGCGACCAATAAGAATCGAGTACGGCCGACGCGAGGCGGCCCAGCCGACCAGCGCGCGAAGCCCGGTTCCGCTCGTTGGCTCGATCGCCTCGCGCCAGCCGAGCTCGCCTCTCATTGGTCACCGTTTTTCGTTGATAACTCGTTAACGGTGCCTCGGAGAACATTTTTGTAAAGGAAGAAGTTGCTTGAAATAGTCCGAGGAACCCGCCACTTTCGGATTGCGAGACATTTTTGGGACATCCTGTATATACAGACAGAATATACAGTATCAGACTCTGCCGTCCAGAGAAATAGCTTCGCGCAGAATTCAGCCGTACCTAAAAGATTAAAAGCCGACCGCGCGCGGTCGAAGGATCGTCGGGGCGCGCGCGCGCGAATCGGCGAACGCGAACGGTGAAAATGATTCGCAGGTTTTTCACAATTTACACGGTTTTATTATCAATTCGTTCCTATTTTACACTCTCACCGATGCAGACTATTTCTGAATCGTAGATAGAAAACTCGATCGGTTGGCGAAAACTCGCCGAAAGCGACGACGACGACGTTTCGCTCTCGAAACGTGTTCGATTTGGAAATTTGTGGAACCGAATCGAGTCGCGGCAAAATCAGCGTCCCGGTACCGTTGTTTTTCCTCCCCCCCCCCC